CCTTCGGCGAGAATGCTCGGATGGCAGCGTGTAGAAATGTTCCTATTATTAACCCTTTGCGCTAAGCAATCGGATGATAGAAGAATTTACGGAAAGACAGATGAGCGAAAGAAATAACGATAGTAAATTTCGTAAAGGGTCATTTGATATTGCGATAGCGTATTATTACTATATTATTATTATTATTACTATATTGTTTTTCGCGGGTAGAAACGCTCCACGTATTCGGCTGTCGTGTATTTTCGGGCCAGACTTTTCGAATTAACGACGAACCTACCGAGACCGGTCGGCTGGTCGGTGGCCGATGAAACGAACAGAGGAAGAAGCTTAAGGGGATATTCTTGTTAAGGAGTTATAATACAAAGGAACAGTAGCCAGTGGAAACGGTGGAAAAATTAAACGGGCGAACGATCAGAACTGGCATGTCAAAGACGTTTCCAGAAAATGGGAGACAAAACACACGAGCTGACGAAAGACAAAATGCAGGAGAAGGGATCGCCCCCACATCGTTAGAATGTAGAGTTTATTTCAGTATTTAGTTTTTCACTAGAACAATTCTTGTAATCTCGAAGTGACTCCATTCGATTATCCTGTTCCAGGTACTCTACCAAAACCATCTTCCCGCTTCGGATTTGAGAGAAGCAAAAACGCCATGTTTTTCCACGGACCACCAAAGATTTTTTCATACTCGCGAGAGACGTTTCGTTAATTCCGTAGAGCCTTGTATGGTCCAAGGGAGTCGTAACAGGTCCTTAAGACCGGCAGGAGGGCACAAATCGGACCGGCACGATGCGCAGGAATACCAGAGAGAAGATCGAGTGGAAGAAGAAGAAGAAGAGGCAGAAGAAGAAGAAGAAGAAGAAGAAGTAGAAGATGAAGAAGGGAGGAAGAATGGGACGAGGAAAAAGGGGGAACAAAAGCAAGCAGCAGGGAACGAACCGGGTTGACCGGGTACACAAATTGCCGGCGAGATGAAATCGCTTGTTCTGCGCGCGTTTCACCCTCCAGGGGTGAAAAAACTGTCCCGGACGGATCGAATACGATCCTTGTTCCCGATAAATCTGCAACGAATTTCCTGGTTCTCGCGGTCTCTGCTGCGACCGGTATCGAAAACTCGCTCGGCGTTGAATAGTGAAAGGCAGTGGCGATTACTTGGCAATGAAGGCCGTTGGAAAAAACACCAGGGCAATTATAGAAATCGAGTCGAGACGGTTTTTCTCGTAGTCGCGTGGAAGAAGAGAGGCGAAGCGAGGAGAAACCCGCGACCGTAAAGGTGCCGATCGAACAACCAGCAGGGAATTGCGTCCAGCCGGCTGAGCAACAAATTTTCACGCTCTATACCGGCTTTTTGTCCACGAGGAATCTATTTCTTATCGATAATCCACCTGGACGTTACTTCGAAGCAGAGAGAATTTCGTAATCTCGCGAGACACCTGACTTTCGCGATATTTCCACGTAATCTCTAGGAATATTTCGAAAATTACTCGCTGCTCCCGCCAAATTCGCTAGAACGTCGGAAAAGTAGGACGTTTCTCTTGCCCTCGACAGGAGCTTCCTCGTCCTGACGATAATCTCGAGTGACCGACGATGAGTGGTGCGTAGAACTCGTCGAAACACCAACAATGCACTCTCGTTAATGCTCCGCGCGCGCGGACCAAGAGCAGCGCCGAAGAGCTTAACCCCGGACAATAGCCGTGGCCTCGACAAAGGAACCAGCTCGTCGCCGGTCCTCGGCAGGCCGAGCAAAGACTTCTTCCCGTAAAAAGACTCATCTCGCGAAGAATCCTGGTTTTACAGCGTTAGAAAGCTCATCCAGGCCGGCGTCGGTTCAGCGTCACCGTTCCACCTCTCTCGTTTTCACCGGGTAATTCTCTCAAGTGGACAAAGAACAGCTCGCTTTCTCATTATCTTAAAAACCCTTTCCGCGGTGTTCCAACAGGAACGAACGGCCTCCTAGCGATCCGTTCATAGCTATCCGTCAGCTTGGCCCGCGAATTCTATCCCGGCGACGAAAAGCCCTGGAGAATCCGACCGGAAAAAGAGGTCGGGACGACAAAGGATTTCTAATGGACGACCGAGCACCCAGAGGACGCCTTATAAGGCGAACATCTCGAGAAGGTGGCTCGCAGCCTCCTTTTGGTCTCTCCCCTTTCCTTCCCTCTCTGTCCCTCTCTCGCGGGTATCTCGCGGCGACTTCTGCGAGCGGTCACAGGCGCCTCCATGGCCGGATTTAGACCGAAAAAGAAACACCGTGAGTTTCGGGAAGACGACGACGGCGACGACGACGACGACGAAGAACACGAAGGAACCGGCACGGAGCCACCAGGCGATCGTGACCGGCCCCACGATCCACCGATCGATACCAGCCAGAGCCACTACTATGTATTTTGCCCCGAAACGATCGTGTAACAGGGAATCCACGGAGGTTCTTGGAAGACGTGCCGAATTTCTGCACGGTGCGACATACCTAGCCTTCGTCGTTTTAGCCTGTTAGACCTCCCGCTCTTTTTCTCGGACAGCTCTGTCGTATACGAAGGTTATCGCGGTAGATCTGTCGGTTTCCCAGGCACGAGCTTCCAATTTCATCCACGGACCATCTTCGCGCGCACCTGTATCGCTAATTAGCCTCGAGACACGTTTCACGAGAGAAGATACGGGTTCGTTCTTTCAGGTCCACTGAAAGCTTCCTACGAGTCCCGTTCCGCGTGGTGTCGCTGTAGTCGAGTCCCTGGCACTTGGCTTGCCGTCCCATCCGTAACTCACTGGACAGTCGCTAACTCGCAACGAAATATTCCTCGTCCAGCTAGATTTCCGATAAGACCTCTGGAAACACGGTGTAATTTAGTCTGCTGTCCAACGAGGACAGTCAACAGGTGCTAACTTTATCCGGCAAGAATAACGTTAATCGATCATCGTTCTCGATCTGCCACCATCTGACGATCCTGGCGGGTACTCTCGCTAGCATACGCCACGATAGACGTCATTACCGTGGAACGGTTCATTCGTTACCGACCATGTTCCCAAGTTGAATAGCTAGACTCTCGGCTACCTTTCGACCGTTTCGCTTCGCGCTAATCTCGGACAACGACCCACGAATCGGCCCTAAATCACGCGACCACCCTAAACTACCTGGGCGAGCTGCGTCGGCTGGAAACAAGTAGCAGAATTGGCAAAGGCCGTTGAGAGGGTGTTAGCCGCGTGAATCGCGCGATTAGGATTACCCGGAATACGAATCGTTCGCCGATTGCTCTCGCTGCTCTGCTGCCAAACAAATCGATTCCGCTTCGAGCTCAGTTAAACACGCTTCGATCGCGCTTCCGAGCGTGTTCGCGCGCCGAGTCGTAAATTATACAACGGAACGCACACGTACACGCCTGGCGGAGTACACGCTCGCGTGCATACATATGTAAACGGCATAACGCATTCGCATTCATGTATGTAGATTCGAGGAGACGGTCCTCGACGGGACCTTTGAGGGACAATCGATTGGCCGGCACGAAGGCCCCTTATTGCCGGATAGGCATGAATACGGAGCAAAATGCCGGTAGACGAGCGAGCTTCTTCGAATTTTCACCGACCCAGGGCTTTTCTCCGAATCCATATTTATTCCGAGAATATGTCGCGTGAGCTGGGTAAATTTGTGGGCCAGACGACGCAAATTTCGCTTGATTCGAGTGTAATTTTATTCCGCTTGATCTAAACCTACGTCGATGATAATAATTTCGATAAGTAATACGGAAAATTAAAATTGTCGAAGTGCAATGGCGGTGAGTGCCTAGCCTGGATCGCCATTTGCACCGGCATTTGTTTTAATCTTTCCCTTCTTTAGCGACGTTAGGAACGCGATAGTTCAGTTCTCGCCGTCATATGGCTTTATACAAGGATATATATATTCTTCTAATTCAAACCAAGTGAGTTTACTTTGTTTCCTTACTTTGGAATATCCTTTATTATACCAGGAATAAAAAAGAAAGTATTTATATCACTCTCCGCTTTTCATGATACTACCTTTCTACTAAACCTTCGTGAAAATATTTTTCTCGTAACACAATATGGTCGAAAGAAAAGAAGAGACACCCTGTATATAGCGTCCTTGAGGCTGGAGACTCGTTATAATTTAATCTGAAAATTATTTTAAATCAGATTACCACTGGGACCTTAGGTCAACGTCTGCCGAGGATTCCATATATATCAAATATCTCGTTGGAAAATTAGTTGCCCGTTTATAGCTTGGAAAAATCACGACGCGATGAAGAAACGAATTTTTATAGGCAATTCATCGTTTCGGCTCACCGTTATTCGAGAAGATTGCTCGCGCGAAGCAAAGCACGATTACGAGAGAAACGCGTGTAGACGTCTGTAGGTGATGATTTCACCGAATTTATCTAATCGTCCCGCGAGCAGCAGCTGTTACACGGTCCAAATCGTTTGTCCGTGTTCAAACAGCTGCCTTGGAAACGGTGGTATCGCGAAAGAGGTACCGCGATGTTTCTACGATTAACGCGAGTCCATAAAGCGCACCTGAACCCTCCATTTGGACGGGGTTCCAACAACGATCCGCCATTTTCTATGCTCGCGCGAAACTGTCAATTCTAACCTACGCAACCTTGACATCCTCGATCCGCTGGAAAAAAGGGAAAAAGGAAAAATATAGGGGAAACTTTGACAAAGGACATGTCCTTCCGCGCAACGGATGCACGATGCATAAATCGAGAACTATAGTAAATCGCATAACGAGTTCTGCGCCCAGACGACCTTTCGATCCTTTCCTGCCGACATGCTCGATCACAGCGACGAGCGAGCAGGATATCAGGATAAACCGGAACACCGTAAAAGACAAGAGAGCGTGCGGCCATATTTCTTCCCTCTACCGGCGAGTCCTTCGCCGGAGCTCCGAGGTCGATTTTATGACGATAGGAAATATCGCGAGTCACGTCGTCGCCACGTAGCCACGTCGAGTAGCGAATCGCGACGCGAGATCGCGCGCGTTTATGGCTTACCATGTGCAGAAGATCCCTGAGATGCGAGGATCGAGCCGCCACCCTCGAGGACTTTGTTCTCCGGACCGTGACCAGGCTGCCCTCCTTCATTGACAGGATCCTGGGCATCGTGTTCGATCTGACCAGTCGATACTCGTCCCCAGAATGCCTCCTCTTCTTCTTGAACGTGCCGCACAACATGCTTGCCCGATGTTCGCTCGTCGTTTGAAAATGCGATAGTCTCACTGGGCTAGGATCATCGATCTAGCCCCGGATAAACGGCCAAATTGCCTGGCGATTTATGCGACCATGTGTCACCGAAAGCTCGCCCCTATCGCCTGCTTCCTCGGCCGCGAATGTTCACGAAACACGTCGTTCACCGTTCCCTCTAACTGTCCCGACAGGTTAATGCCTCTGTCGCGAACTGGTCCTCGAGCGAATTCACGTCCCTTTAACCGGTTGCAAACGCGCTGACTGATACGCTCCTGGGATTCCTACGTTCCATCCACACGGACACGGGCACACAGAGTGGCACGGGAAACCGAATATTTTTTCTCGCTGCTACAGCAGCATGGCGCCGCGAACGGATTCCTGCATCTATTTAACTGTCTCCTCCGGCTCCACTCGCTTAACCAACCCTCTTCTTCTCGCCTCTTTTATTTCTCGATCCTCTCTTCTGCTCCTCTAAATCCTGCTCCCTCTGCTGCTTTCGGCATCTCTTTGCTTCGGCCACCTTCTCTCCTTCTTCTCCCTTTTTTTCTTCTCTTTTCCTCTCTCCTTCTCTCTCTCTCACTCTCTTTCGACCTCCACCGTTGCGCGCCTTCACCTCTACCCTGACGATCGCTCGGCTCGGCCTCCTCTCCGCTACTCTATCACGGCACCCACGTACTAATTAACAGCTAACGACGCGTACGCGACGTGCACGTCCCGCTCCACGAGCGACTCTGACGCTGGATCGAGGTGATCGACCGGTAAAAGGAACTGGTCGCGGATCGATCTCCGGATCGACCGTGACGATCGCTCGGGAGTCTGGCTCGACGGGGTTCACGGGGAACGGGTTCACGGTTTTAAAATAGTACCCTTTGTCGCGGTGAACGTACGGACACTGGATCCTTCTCGATCTTCCACCAATTCCTAATCCTCCGTCGATCTAGCGGATCACCTCTGCTCTCCGAAAACGGTCCCTGGATGATGTTTGCACGATCCGTTCGCGATCGACTTCGCTCTATCAGGCTCGGACTCTGCCGATCTTCTTTTTCTCACGACCGATTTTCTTCACGATTAATCGGATCTCGATCGCGTACACGCGCCGATGCGTTCACCTGTTGTGTACAGCCACCCTTGCGAATCGCTGGATGGTTAATTAATGGAATCTCAGCCAGCTCGAGTCGCAGTGAGAGCCGAGAGTCGACTGAAGGCATAAGGCTCCGGTTGTGGTCGTCGAAGGAACCCCACCACGTTGATTTCAACAACACCCGGCACCCAGCCCGACCGGACGACCTGGTCGCGTGGCGCTCGGCACAGATACGCAGTGTTTCTCAAAATCCTCTCCTTTTCGTTCTTGCCAACAGGATCCAGCCCGTCCTACCTTTCCATACGTCTTTGTTATTCCGCTACCTTTTTTCGGCAGCCGTCTATGGGCTTTAGGGATCTTCCTCCTTCCTTTTCGACCCTATTCCGTGTATTTTAGAAATTTATTTCAATATAGGTAGCTTAAATATAGGTAGTTTCGTAATTTTCTTGTCTCTTGTTTCCCACGTTTCTATTATCTATCCATTACCGATATTTTCGCTTTTCGATTACCATCGATTAGCTGCGTTCGGTTGACCATTTGGTCCCGTGGCGAGAAAATTCTTGCCTGTTTAACGAGGGTCAGAGGAGTATCGGTACCGAGAACTTGATTTATAGACTGTAAATAATTGTTTATCGGAAAGCCGTGTCGTTGCTCGGTAAGTTGTCATGTTCCCAGGCAATAGAGTAGCACGATTTATCGGCGAACGTGATACTGGTCGACTAGTAACAACTTTCGTACCGATTTCCCGCATTCTCGCTGGCATAATTCGTATTTTAGAACGGTTCTTCGATAACAACGATGTCGATAAAAATGACTTTGATTATTCCACTGTCGTTCGTTGTATCATTACGTAATACTTTGCTTTTCAGTTTGTCGGTTTCAGACTGCGCAGACTATTGGTTACTTGGCAGCCAATTTTGGCGTCAACTAACCTCTTTGAGAGACCAGTTGATGACGAAGAAACGAGATTAATAACGCGATTAATAACGAAATAACCAACGATAATGCGAAGAGCAAGGAAATTTTTAAATCGTCTCGAAGATGGGAGCAAATTTGAAGAAAACCGAGCCTGGGATGAAGAGGAATAAAGGAGGAAGGCGAGATGAAACAATGGCGTTTGCCACGCAATTAGATGGAGCAATTTCGTTCGTTTGACGTCTGAAATGATCGTTTAATTAACGTCGTCGCAGAAACACAGTCATCGGTCTTTGTTATCGCGGATCTTAGCCAAGTTCAAAGTTCCTTCTTTCTCCGGGGCAGACAATGCGGCTCGTTCCACTTCCTCTGGGAAACACCTCGTTACACAACGGAACGGTTCGCAGGAGGCACGCCTATGAGTGGGATAACCTCGAAGGACTCGTTGCGCGTTCTAAACGATACTGAAGAGAAAAAAAGAAGAAAAAGACGAGGAAGTATCGCGATCCGGGTGACCCAGTTCGCGCTCTTGAATTTCAGAATCGTTCTTTCGTATTCCAAGGATCTATTGTGGCAACGTCAACGATACCATCGCGTTCGCCAATTTTTCAGCGTCTCTGCAGCTTACAGCGTAACGATCATTCGGATCGTATTGTTTCTCCTTCGCTCTCCCGTTAGATCCAGTTCTGTGTCTTTGTCGAATATATCGAGCAAATTATTTTATTTCCTTATTTTTTCCCGTAATGTCAAAGTATGCGAGTTCCGGTTACCGATAAAGCTGCGAGTGACGACGATATTCCTTCATCTTCTCAGCGGATTGACAAAGAAGACCCACCGTTAATTCTTTGCGGCATAGGATTTCGGATAATAAAATAGACCCGTGTTGCATAGAAATTTCATTACGTTTTAAATGAAACAAAATTGGTACGGAACTAATTTTTATAAAAATTAACTCACTTTTACGATTTTTCGCGTAAAATCAGGAAACAAAGATTGCCGCGATAAATCTTCAGCTTGCAACGATCTATGAACCTGTAACCCGTGTTGCACAGAAATTTCATTACGTTTTAAATGAAACAAAATTGGTACGGAACTCATTTTTATAAAAATTAACTCACTTTTACGATTTTTCGTGTAAAATCAGGAAACAAAGATTGCCGCGATAAATCTTCAGCTTGCAACGATCTATGAACCTGTAGTGGCACGTTGAATGTTGTAAACAGGAGTAAATAAATTTATAATAGTCGTCGATGGTATTACCAACTGCTTCACGTAAATAAGACGTAATATAAACCTATGCGCATGCAGGTTTTTGCGATATTTTCAGGTGGGACCAAAAATGTGGGACAGTTTTAATCCCAGCGTGCACCGAAGAGTTATCTAATCCAACTGGTATAAATAGAGATATTTATAAAGTTCCATTTCAGCCATATTTTGCAATTAAAGATTTATTAGGACTTATTTTAATTTTATCGATTTTCATGTTTATAAATTTTCAATTAAAAGGGCTGCTCGGAGGCGTGGTAGAAATGAAAGAATATTGTATAAAACGGAGTAAAGTACAATCGGCCATCGAGTAACAGATTTATATAACCCAGCCCTCTCTTCTCCATCCCTGACAATAAGAAACTATTTTTCTTTGCGCTTTTTCTTTTCTTTCTTTTCTTCATTACGAGTTCAAAGAGGAATTTTTTTCTGGAAATTAGCCGCGCGCAAAATTATTCCGGATGGATGTAGGTCAACCGATATACAAGGTATACCTGCGACATCTGTCAGGTTGCGTAACTCGGCTGAATATCGCTATTAATTTCACGTTCGAAGGCCTTTTTCATGCGTGAATATCTGCGGTTTCGACGAGCTCTCGAAGCCCGTCGCTTCTCGGCCCGATGGAAACGTATTATTTTCCTGCTTCCTACCCGTGATCGGTGTTCATTGATCAAAAGCATCGAGGGCTTTCTGTCACGAATCCAGGGGCAAGGACGTTCCCCTCGGAAGTGCTCGCTGTCGAAGACGTCGGGATAATCGCGTTCGAATTATTATTCCCTGGAATCACGTTGCAACGATTCGACCAGCCGGCTCGAAACTCGTAATTGCCCAGCATCTCTCGATCAAACGACGCGACGATGAGAGCTTCCACAGCAGGATGGCAACGCGAAGGGAAAACCCGGCGTAGGAATGATGTAACGATAATCACGAGTTCCATCGTTACCTTTCTTTCCTGATTTTTACGTAAACTATCGGTTTCTCCACGGATCCAAGGAATCGCGAAGATTTCTACTCTCGTGTCGGCTGCCCGGCAGCCGGCAAAAAGGTACATTTAGACGCGGTAACGACCGGCGAGAGACTCACACTGCGAGACTAATATTCCACGGTATCCGATATCGCTTCTATTACAATGCAAAAAATACGAGCGTTTGCTTCCCAACTTTCGCAACGAAAGCGATCAAGCGAAATTCGAGAGCCCGAAGGTGTCGTAAATTAACGAAAGCAGCCACCCTGGCACCGTGGTACCAGCGTGTAACTCGGTACCAGCCAACCAGGGCCCGGTACCCTCCAGCCGAATAACGCTCGATTATTCTTTCGTCTGCTCGTATTTCATCGCTGTTTGCCAATTTTTTCGCCTCTCGCCCATTGTAACGCGCTGCAAAGTCGCAACGGGTTGACCACCGCCATCGCTCACCACGCTCCGTGACTAATAAAACAGCCGAGTGACCGATGAATTTGCATCAGAATCAGAGTAATAATAACAAACGACGCCTGGCTAACGCGGCACACGAGGGTGTATCGCGCACCCTCCGCAACCGAGCGGATATGCAATTTTCGCGTGACTCACCGCGCGACCCCGTGGCGAAGAAACGCCGCGGCCATCTTGGCTTCTCGGCGTGGATCCAGCCGAGATCGTCGTAACTCGCGTTTCAAGAGTTAATCGAATTTCACTCGGACTGCCACCGGCAACCAAACGGGCGTCCCATTTTAATTAACCCTTTGCACT